TTTTCAATGATGGAATTTAATTTATATTTCGAATTTGCCTGCACGACAAAAAGTGTGAATCATTTTGAACCTAATTCGTAGCTTAGAATTCTTGACAGTCTTGAGAGTTCTGAATATCTAAATCAATGGATTTGAAGCTCGTTTAGTCATTGAAAGTCCTTTTAGTTTCACATATTCCTCTCCCTATTCTATAAAAATCCAAGATTCTACTTTCTACTGTAATTTGATTCTAATAAAAAATTGTTTACGAATCAAAGGCGTTACGAGGAGCGTTTCAGAGCCGGAAAGAGGAAAGTGGCTCGCGTGAGAAACTAGGGAATTCTTTCAGAACAGTTTCTCGGAGACTCCTGCTCGCAGAGGTCGAGTACTCTTTCCGGCAGGTTGGTTCACCAAGCCAGAACGCGAGGCCACGCAAAATAGCTCGCGTCTCCCGCGGTCGACGGGCTTCGGTGATCCAGGGAAATGGCAAGGAAAAAGTTTGAGACACGCGAGTTTTGGAGCCAGTCGCTCACGCCCTGATCTCTGTTCATGATCTTAGAACGGGAAGACAAAAGCAGGAGACAGGCATGGTTGGGATAGAAACGAAAACTTTCAGATATTAAATTATCTCAACATTTTTAAATAACATTATAAATAGTTTCTGCTTCCAGACTTACAATTAGTTTCCATATTAATGAAAATATTAAAGTTTACAATTAATCTGCAATTTTTACATGCATTTATATAAAAATAAAGAATGTATATAAATATTAAGATTACTAATTACACATAATTACGCATAAATAGGCAGAGTTTTCAAAGAGTGGACAAAATCTTAAATTAAAATTCGTCTTTTAAATGAACATCATAAAAGTTTTATGTTGTGAAAAAATATTTAATCCGCGCAGATTTATCTTGAATAAGTTCTCACAATGTATAATATTTGATACAAAGATTGCACACTTTATAATATCTGCTGATTTTATTAAACAGTCTTGAGAGAACGAATTACAATTACTAAAAGGCAAGACTCATTAAATACAAAATATACGATATCAATAATAAGAGAATATAATTGTTTCCTTATTTAATCACTGTGTATATTACATACTGTGTAAAGACAGGAAGAGTCAATAAAAATAATCATAAAAGGATTAACTATGTTCTCAATTCATTTAGAACTGTTTTATTTATACAATTCTTACGTTTGATGGAACTCATTGAAATAATGAAATTTTCCAATCGGATCATTAAGATGATAGTTCTTATTGGTTTATTCTACGTGTCACAGTGGAATAAAATATAATAAGCTTGATTGAAATAACACTTGAAAACGTTTGATTAAGTTTAATGACACAGACGTAATATTCGACGTTTCATTAGGTGAGGAAAAAATGTCGATAGTAATTATGGGAATAAGTCAGGAGGAGGAAGAGGAGGAGGAGGAGGAGGAGGTGATCGGTATAAAAATGATATTAGAATGGCTGGAATAATAATTGTCGTAGAGTTGTTTATAGATCGGCGACGGTCGGTGGGTCTAAGCCGCGGACGTGGTGGACACTTTAATGGTTAACGTCGGTGGCCTCTAATTAGAACGTATCGAGCGTAACCGCGCCATTACTGGAGAAAACGCGGACTCGTCGGATCGACGAGGAATATTTATTGGCCGGTGTAACAATTACGGGAGGGCCGGGCATAGCACGAATAGCAATAGGCGACCGCCTCGGGGCCCGCCGCGCCACTCGTCCTGGCGAACGACTGTAATTAGGGCTTTTATTGTCTGTACATAAGGAAGCTTTATGAAAACATTAAGGATATAATTCAAGGCCGGGAGGCTACGCCGCACCGCCGCGGCGTCGTGAATTGCAACCAGGGTTAATGCGTATAGAGAGACTCTCTGCTGCGTCATTTCCGCTTAGCGTATACAGGTGCAACGACGGATCCCCGAGCATACGTGTACTTACTTACCTACTCTTCCATATCGTATTTATCGCTAGGCTCCTCGATCGGATCTCGTCAGATTTTTGGTACTTCGTCTACTCTTCTAGATCGAAGATAAAAGAAATCCATTTATAGCTTCTACTGTACTTACGTTTGACCGCTTGTGCGAGCATCACGTTTAACTATGGTATCTTCAGTTGACCATTGATCGGGATGCTTGATTGACTCGTTGGTCATCTTCGAGGTAGGAATCCTGTGAATCGTAGATGTGCGGAATCTACGATTGGCCGATAGGTATTAGCTGTCGACTAATAGAGTTCAGCGGTTTGACAGCGATATTTTAAAAGGATCGAGGAAAAGGAATAGCCGGTGCGGCGGTGTGTGGTCCGGCACGTTCGAGCCGGACGGCGATTAGCCCCGGGCCCCCCTAATCCCTTGCCTTTTTCAGTCAGGACTCGGGACTCGTTTCTTCCTGCCCGTTTCGCTCTTCCTTCTTCCCTTCCTTCCTCTTTTTCCCTCTTCCTCAGATCGTCTACTCTCTCTCTCTCTCTCTCTCTGTCTCTGTCTCGTCGTCCTGTCAGAGGTGTCTCAAATGCGAGCCACGCTCCTCAAGACGAAATTCGAGTAATCCAGATCTCGATGAGCGCACGTCGCGTCGCACAGTAGCGGCTTTTAAAAGTTGTTCACCCCTTCGTCGGCCTTCGCGTCGTTTCGGTGCGTTCGCCACGCGGTGGTCCAGAATTTGCCGTTCCCGACTCTCGGAACGAACGCGGCAACGCGATCGCATAAACGCGTCTGTCTCTCTTCCAGTTTCTCCGCGTCCTCCGGTGTCGCGTTACCCCGCTAAGCGGTGTAGTCGGCTGGTAACCGAGAAGTGCTCACCGGACCCATTGTTCCTCTTTCACCTTTTTACATCTCCTTCGTGTTCTCCCGTTTCTCCTTTTCTTATACGCGATCGTCGATTTTTTTTTCACCTTCCGTTTTTTTCTACACATCGTCAGATGATTTGAATCATCTCAGGAATTGTCAGTCTATTCTAGATTTGCATTTATCAGGTTTATTCCTTTTTTTTTGTCACCGTCAGCCCGACTACCTGAATTAATTTCGATTATCAGAATGTTACGTACACGTTGAGACTGGGATTCCCAGTTGTTTGGTATTCGTTACCTCCTCGAAGCTATCGCGTCCTCGTTCCGCTTCACGATCGCAGTTCCGTTCCGCGTTCATCGCATAATGGACGATTTTACGACGGTTTACGATCCCTTGTGCAACGAACGACAGCTAGGCAGGTTGCCCGCGTCAACGAGAGGTCGAACCCGGTTCCCCGTTGGGATTAGGACCCTCTCTCTCCCCCCGTGTAGATCGTGTATGTATAGCATAGAGAACGAGGGATTCCGCGGAATGACGCCGGGTGGCAACCGTGAAAGAGAATCCCCAGACGTCTCGGAGGTTTCTCCTGGCTTTCGAGGAACAAGGATGATCGATAGGAGGTATCATCGTCGAGCGGGCCGCGGTGAAATTATCCTACGAGCCGAGAGAACTGCTGGTATCAGGTTTTCTTTCAACCACTCAACGCGACCGTCTGCTGCCTACCGAATTCTCGGCCCGTCCATCGACCCAGATCGTTTTCTTACAATTAGGGTGGTCGACGCCACAGAGAACCTCTTATTCTCTTGCTTATTAAAATATTTATTCCTATTGAAAAAGTAAAACCTGGAGAAGTCGAGTGTAGAATTAATAATAGTAAGTAATAAAAGGAGAATAGAAAGTCTGACGAGAACATATAAAATTTGGACATTTATTATATCTGAGAATTAAGAATTCTCGAGTTTTCAGCCTCACGTGAAGCTTCGTATTTGTACGCAGTACTCAGGAATCTTCTTATTTTCTTTACTAATCATTTATTATTATACGACTCGATGAAACTCGTCTGGCGCAGGTTCATCCGTTTCTACTTTCTGAAAACAGTAGCCGAAGCAGAAAATAATGTACGGATGGCAGAACGTCAAAGAGAGAAATCCCAGAGGCTTTAGGCTCGCTGGCGGGCCACAATGAGGTCTTAATCATTGAGATGGTCTCGGCGATAATCGCACGGTGTTTACGTACCGCTCCACTCCCGCGCGCGCGCGCGCTCGCTCGCGCTGCGCGCATAATCACGAAAGTAGGAAATGACGGTGCAACGTGTGCACGATTTCGCAATGATACCGACCATTAATTATCGCAGATATCACGCGAACCTCGCGAAGCCAGAGACGACGCCGCGCCGCGCGCCGCCGGCCCGTTTTCATCCGCGGCGAAGCCAATAATTCGCTCGTTAGCGTCCTGCCATTCGCGGCGACGCGGCCCGATCGTACCGTGTCGGTTACAATCGGCCGTAATTAACCCTAATTAAGCATCGCGTCTAATGCACGAAATCATCCATCACGCGGCGGCTCACGGACGTGCGCGACCGAGGGGACGTAACGTCAATGAGAGAACGTCGCGTCGTCTTAATTATCCGCGGGCACCGCGCCGCGCCGCGCCGGCCTTCCTTTCCCAGCTCGTTTTCTCTCCTTTATCCGCGTGAAATCTCATCGATTCATTCCCTCCTTTTAAACGCCACTTAATGCCGATAACGTCGATCGGTTAATCACGGGGACGCGCCTCGCTCTGTCTTATGTATCTCTGATTCTTATCATTGTCTTCTCTCCCCTCTATCGCTCACAGATTCGACGTGTTTCTTCCGAAAGCCGTGTACGACTTGAAAGACAATGGCAACGTTATTCCCACTATCATAAGAATTATCATAATGAAGAAATATTTGACTAGATTCAGGTGGTGTTAAGCTGTCCCATGTGTAATGAGATACGATGAAAATGATAGAGACATAAAATAGACGATTAGGAACATTGCCAACTTTTCGAATATGATTTTAATTCATCTCGCCTGTAAGGCACGATGACACGTTTATACTATCCTGTACATAGATTTTCAATACAAAAATATCTTATATTTGCAGTATTTAATTTATTTTTAAACCCAACAACTACCTTCAGTCTTTCACTACTAAACGTTCTCCATTTCGCTTTCGCTGATTACAGAGATCCGATGGAATTGATGGAACAGCAATTGGTAAGATGCGGAGTAGCACCGGTCCGGTTGTACGAACATCTCGCGATGTCATCTCCGGCGGCTGCTGCCGCTGCAGCGGCCGCGGCTGCGGCGGCACTGGGTGCTCAACAACAGCAGCAACAACACCACCAGCAATCGCAGCAACAGCAACAGGCACAGTCGCAGCACGAGAGTTCGCACGCGTTGCCTCCGTGGATAGCTCCCCCGACGCTTCTCTATGGAACCGTTGGCCAGCCGCATCCGGGAACGAGACCAGCTACCGGATCCACGTCGCCGTATCCGGCTGCAGCAGCCACGGCGACGTTTCCTTACCCCGCGGCGTTGCCCTGGCCCTGGCAGCCGCCACCCGTCGCCATGATCTCGCGAAGATCTTCGCCACCGACTGCTTCTCTTAGGTACACCCCATATCCACCACCGGCGAGCACGCCACCGCCCTTAAGAGCCCGGCCGGCCACCCCTAATTAGCGACCCATCTTGCCTAACGCGTGATAGAACAGGTTTGTTTAAACTAAAACGGAATTTTTATGATTCCTTGATAAGACATGTGGTACGCTAGGATCGTTTCTGAAAAAACAGCAGTCACCCACTTGTAGCATGTCTGTGTCTTGTATCATTGTTGCGTGTCGTCATGAACGGAAAAGCATCGATTTACATCCCCGTTTATGAATCTTCAGGGGCTGAGATTGTCATGTAATTATTAAAGATTTCGGTAATAAATTTTTAATGTTCTTCTCTGTTTT